TCCGAAGCCATGTATTGACGCGCATATATATATATATATATATATATATATATATATATATATATATATATGCGCGTCAATACATGGCTTCGGAACCGTAAAGACGCGTAGAAGAATTTCATCCTCTAGTAGTCATCGACCGTCGATATGTACGTGGTTTGGTACAGGTTAGAAACAGCGGGTGTGTAATCAGCACCGAGGTAAACCAATGAGTATTCCGGGGTGATTCGGCGGAGAATTTGTTATCACGTCAAACTTAGTATTTTTTTTACTGGTTAGGACGCGTATTACGTATGCACAGCTGTCGTTTGCTGCATCGTTCATTATTCACTGTTGCTGCTCTAGGTTGGAGGAAATCAAGTGGAGGTCAACAGATGACGTGGAAACAGCTTGAAGAATGTATGAGGATCCCGGATGAAGTAGATCTTTCAGGTTGGAGTTCGAAACACTACTGGTCGATTTGAGAAATCGAAGGATAAGACAAGAAACTGTCAGTAGTGGCTTTCTTGTTGTCACTTCTTATCAGGTCAGAATGTTTGCAAAGCTGTCTGTGCTCAGTTGGACTGTGTAATTTCATCGTTTGCAACATATAATTGGGTTGGAATGTTTCCAACCGAGTCATGACCCTTTTTTATTACTCACCGGTGTGCGATAGGCAACAAACGGAGCGGACCTTATAATCACGATGATCTGCTTTTTAGTGGTGGTAACCGGCAACCTAAGCCCCAGAACTTGGAGTGGTGAACCACCTGAGGTCGCGCTAGGTCAGGCGTGGTATAGAACCGGGCGACAACAAACTGGGTGGTAGTGGCAGGGCTTGAACCTCGACCGCAGGGTCCAAGGCACGCCAGTGACAGCGGCTAAATTGCCACGCCACCACCAGCCCTGGTGACTGTCGTTGAGATGCGCAAGATGCGATGCTTGTATTAAACTCGCAGAGATGGGTTGTGCTCTATCGAGTATAAGGAACATGGAAGAAGGTCTGATCATCTTCCTGGTGGCCGAGTGGGTAGCCTGCTTGCGTGCTGCCTGTTAGATCCTGAGTTCGCTCCCCATTTAGGTCCATGCAATCTCACCGCGGATGAGACCTAACTAGGTCGAAACAGTTCGTACTTCCTAGCTTTTTGGACCGCGTTTCATTTGCTCCCTATACGACGAAATCCATCATATAAACAAAGCCAATTTCTATTCCTGTCATGTTTCAGTTCTTAATGTTGTATGGTCTCAACACTAGAGACCGTGTTGTCTATTATATTCTTTATCGATGAACCACCGACTCATCATCGCGATCTCTTTTTTCCTCCGTTATTTCTTTTGATCCAGTCTGCTGCTTTGGCTGCCGAGCAGGCCGGGAATAGCGACCGGGCCTCTTCTCTATTAAGCGCATCATTAATGATTGAGGAAGTGATCCCCAAAATCGAAGCAGGCCTGGAACCATTTGATGTAGAAACTGATCTCCCGCCACCTCCTGATGAGTTCGAAACTGATGAACCGGAAACACCCCAGGCTCCTCCTGAGCAGGCAGTGAGTACTGTGTTGATGAATCAGTCCAAGAAATGTAAAATCCTGAATGATGTGACCTGTTGTTATTAACAGTGACAATCTTGAGTTGGTTCAGTTTCATGATCCGCATGATTCTTTCTCTGATTCTTTCTCGCTCAATGCATACACAAACTAGAAATAATTCCATACTGCATCGGTCGTCCCGCAGAATAATCAGGACAGCTCTGCTCATTACATCTAGCGGGGTGGGTAATGATAAGGGAGCTACTGCTGTGACATCCCAACCTTTGTTTAGCTCTTTGTCTTCCGCACCCAGCCCTCTGCTTTTGCCCCTTCTTTCGACCCGTAACAGTCCCTCAGACAACTTGTTCGTCATTTGCCACAGTTCGCAAGCAGCTTATCATGAAATGGATTTCAGATTCCGAAGCCTTGTCAAACTCCCAATGTAGGGGCCTTCAACGTGAGAATTCTGTTGCAGGTAGTCAACCAGCTTGNCCATGGTCTCTTTCGTAATTGATGTCTGCCGTGTATCGGAGATGCGAATTCCGGATCCTAGTACCATAAGCCACTTAAGTGGGCTCGAATTGTCTTCGAGGTACTTCCTCCGCACATCAGGTGACGATGAAGCCAACGTGGCGTGTGCATTGTGCTCA